TACATACTTTTCAGAAGTTATATACTTAGTAGTTACTATAGGAAATCAGCATATACAACTTAATTTATCAGAATCAGCTTGTGATTTACAATAGCTTAATCCGAGCAAAATATAGAAGGAATATGCACACACAGCTCTATTCTCTTTTCTCCCTTTTCATAGTACTATTATACATATCACAGCTATAAATTTTACAAATCCACCAATACATTTTAGAATTATTACTTTATATATACATAATTTTATAAACACATTTAAAGAACTTGAGAGAAGAAAAGAGTGCAAATATATACTTATGAATTTTGTTATATTTACCTTCATATTTACACTTCTGGTTCTCTTCATTTATTTGTTCTTTTGAATTTGTTATACAGTCATTTCCCTAGCCCAAATACAACTTTCTCCTTTTCCCTGTTATTGTCAAATATATTACAACACATTGTATACATTATACATATATAGGAAGGAATATATATATATATATTGTCTTTTTATTATTACATAATTACCTTTGCCAGTGCACTTTGACAATGTGTGAATTAAAATTGCCATTTGGAGTCATCTGCTTTCAGATGGACAACCTTAAGTATTTCTTGTAAGGCAGATCTGCTAACAATAAATTTTCTCCATTTTTGTTTGTCTCAGAATGTCTTTATTTAATCTTTGGTTGCAGGTACTGCATTTTTTACAAATTGAAGGTTTGTTGCATCTCTGAGTGGAGCAAGTCTGTAGGCACCATTTTTTTTTTCAACAGCAAATGTTTGCTTTGTGTTGCTGGGTCACATTTAGGTGATTCTCACAATAATTCAAAATTTTAAATTATCATTATACCTTTAAGGTGATGATCAGTGGTCTTTGATGTTACTATTGAAATTGCTTTGGTGTGCTATGAATCATGCCTATACAAAACAATGAACTTAATTGCTAAATGTATTTTGACCACTCCACTTACCAGCTGTTCCCTATCTTCCTCCTTGGATCTTACTCTTCCCTGAGACACAATATTGAAATTAGGTCAACTAGGAACCCTACAATGTCCTCTAAGTGTTCAAGTAAAAGGCAGCAGGCAAATCTCTCACTATTCATCAAAGGTTAGAAATGATTGTGCTTAGTGAGGAAGGCATATGCCAAAGGTTAGATTTCTAGGACCAGTTAGCTAAGTTGCTAATTTAAAGGAAAAGTTTGTGAAGGAAATTAAAAGTGCTACTCCAATGAATTCACCAACAAAAAAGCAAGAACAGCCTCATTGATGCTGGTCTAAGCAGAAGCTCACACTAGTATAACATTCTCTTAAACCAAAATATAATCTGGAAGATAGACCTAACCCTTTTCAATTTTATGAAGACGGAGTTGAGGAAACTGCAGAAGAAAAGTCTGATGCTAGCAGAGGTTTAAGGAAAAAGCCTCCTCTGTAACAAAAGTGGCAGTCACTCATCAAGAGTTGACATGGAAGCTGCAGAAAATACCAGAAGATATGGCTAGGTGGCTACAATAAGCAACAGATTTTCAATGTAAATAAAACACCCTTATATTGGGAGAAGATGCCATCTAGGACTTCCATAGCTAGAGAGGAAAAATCTAGGCCTGGCTTTAAAGTTTCAAAGAACAGACCGACTTCAAGTTGAAGCCAGTGTTCATTCACCATTCTGAAAATCCTAGGGCCTTTATTATTACACTCAACCTTCTCTGCCTGTGTTCTACAAATGGAAAAAGCCTAGATGATAGTATATCTCTTTACAACATGATTTACTGAATGTTAAGCTCATTGTTGAGATTCCTTTCAAAATATCATTGTTCACTGATAATGTACCTGGTCACCCAAGAGCTCTGATGGAGATGTACAAGATTAATGCTGTTTTCATGTTCATTAATCCAACATCCATTCTGTAACCCATGGATCATGGAGTAATTTCTACTTTCAAGACTCATTCTTTAAGGAATACATTTTGTAAGACTATAGCTGCCAAAGACAGTGATTTCAAAAAGGGATTTGGACAAAGTAAACTGATAAATCTTTTGAAAAGAATTCATCATTCTAGATGCCATTAAGAACATTTGTAGCTGGGCACCAGCAGCTCACTTCTATAGTCCTAGTTACCTGAGAAGTTAAGATCAGAAAGACCATGGTTTGAGGTCAGCCTGAGCAAAAAGTTTGCCAGACCTCATCTCAACCAATAGTTGGACACAGTGGCACATGCCCATCATCCCAAAGTATGCAGGAGATTGAGATTGGGAGGATCATGGCTCTAGGCCAACTCAACCAAAAAAGTTCACAAGACCCCATCTCGGCAGAAAAAAAAATGATCGTGGTATGCACCTGTCATCCCAACACTGCCAGGATGTGTAAAATAGTATCACAGTTCAGGCAAACCTGTGCAAAACAGTGAGACTCAATAACCAGAGAGGACAGAGCTGGAAGTATGGTTCAAGTGGTAGAGTACCTGCCTAGCAAGTGTGGAGCCCCAAATTCAAATCCAGTACCAACCATCAAAAAATAAAAAGGAAAAAAAGAAAAAAAGAACATTTATGATTCTTGGGAGGAGATGAAAATACCACATCAAAATAAATTTGGAAAAAGCTGATTCCAACTCTCATGGGTGACTTTGAGGGGTCACGGCTTCAGTGGAAATAACTTCAGATGTGGAAATAGCAAGAAAATTAGGATTGTTAAGTACAGTAAGCCTGCCTCATTTGTGGATTTACTACAAGTGGTTTGACACAACAATAAACAACTCATAATAAACAACTTAGTGCATGGGAAGAAGTTCTCAGTTCCATGTATGGTCAGTTGTGTTTAAACTCTGCATCCTGAGAATTTGTGGCTTTTCCTCAGCCTTGTATCTGCAGATACCAAGGCTCAGATACCTGAAGAAGTGACTGATCGTTTCAATCTCATGAATGAGGAGTTGCTCATTAAGGATGTGCACAGAAAATAACTGAGGTTTTGTTTGTTTGTTTTGTTTTTGTTTTTTCGTGGTAGTACTGTGGATTTAACTCAGGGCCTTGTGCTGGCTAACCAAATGCTCTACCACTTGTGCCATGCCCTCAGTCCATTTTGCTTTAGTTTATTTTTGAGATTAGGCCTCATGCTTTTGCCTGAAGCCAGCCTCCACCTACCTCCTACCTCCACATTAGCTGGAAATTATAGGCATGTACCACCATGTCCAGCTTGTTTTCTGAGACAGGGTCTCACTAACATTTTTCCATGGGCAAAACCGTGATCCTCCTAGCTCTGCCTCCCAGTAACTGGGATTACAGCTACTTGAGATGGAATCTACTAGTGAAGATACTCTGAGCATTGTGGAAATGACAAAAAAGATTTAGAATATTATATAAAGTTAATTGATAAAGTAGTAGCAGGTTTGACTGACTTCAATTTTGAAAGTTCAAAGTATGATCACTATTTTCTATTTTTAGAAAAAATGTTATTGCAAACTTAATAGTGTATACTGTAAACATAACTTTATATGTACTATGAAAGTGGAGTATTGCAGTGGTCTGAACAGAACCCACAATATCTTCAAAAGGTGTATTTGCCCAGGGCTGGCTCTGAGGCAATTGGCAGTTCTTCTTTTTCCACTCCCATTTTGGCATTTTTCTTTGTATCTCTGAAATAGGTTACCACTGGCATTTTGCCTCCATTGCTTCTGTTGAGATGCTGGCTATAAATCTCATTGGGGGTCTTTTGGAAACAGTGTGTCATTTAGCTCTACCTGCTAGAGATCATGTTCCCATTCAAAATGTTCCAAAAAGTTTCCTCACATTTATATATTTGCTACTAAAAGTCACATGGCTGTACACAATCCAGTATCTATCTATCATCAGATCTCATATATTTATTTATTTTTTGCGGTCCTGGGGTTTGAACTCAGGGACTACACCTTGAGCCACTCTGACAGACCTGTTTTTGCGCGCGCATGCGCACATGTGTGTCAGGTTTTTTCCGAGATAGAGTCTTCTGAACCATTTGCTTGGGCTGACTTCGAACCATGAGCCTCCTGATCTCTGTCTTCTGAGTAGCCAGGATTACAGGCATAAGCCACCAGCGACCAGCTCAGATCTCATTCTTTACCAGTTTTTACTGTGTTCACTCTGCTCTAATATCTGTTTAGTGTCATTTCATTCAGGACTCACCTCAAACATTATCTACACACCTTCTCGCAAATAGTTTCTGTCATTCACTCTTTATTTTTACTTCTTTTTTAAAAATGTATTCCACTATACATTCATGAGTGAGAGTAAGAATGTTTTCAAATTTTTGACATAAATTTACTTGATGTACTTGTTTTCATACTGGTTTAGAGTCTTTTCCCTCCATTACAATAAAAGCTAGAAGAGGGCAAGGGGTTTTGCCTATGTTGTTCAGCACTATAACCCCAATGCTTGGCAAATAGTCATTACTCAATAAATACTTATTGAGTGAATACATGTATACAGGAATTGGAATATTTTTAATTACTTATATTTTAAGTTACGACTTTAACAGATCATCTGTTTTTATTTATATTCATACAGAGGAGAATAATGACACTATTAAAGAAGAAATAATAGTTATTTGTCTGAAAAAAGATAACAGAAGTGATGAAAGGCCAGGTATTTGAAGTTCTGTTACAATAATCCTAAACTTCTATTATAAACAGCATTGCTGAACTGCCTGTTCCCTTTACCATATCCATCAGGCCCAAAAGAACAAGCACTTCAAATTCAATAGGAAAGTGATAAAAACACTAAAATTACAAATGCTTATACTAACAGTTTTGGCAGGGGTATTGGAAACTTTAGGAAAAGCTAATCAAAGTGAAAATCCTTGCTCAAACATAAATCTCACACTAAGTACATATAAATCTCTTTAAGTTATAAAAAAAACCTTATTTTTTATAAAAAGAATAAGAGGGTTTTTTTTATTCCATGTTTTCACATCTCCCCATATCCCTTTTTTATCCAGGCTAAGGTCTACAATGGACTTAGCAAGGTTAAGCAAAATAGATTCCAAATTTTACCTTGAGTCCTGTTTTCTCATCATCACTTCCATTATTTGTAGATGGCGTCTCATCTCCTTGCCTGGAAACCAAGACAAAATCTTCACTGTTAAGAGTAGATACTGAGTCTGAAGAGACACTGATTTTTCCAACAGAAGCCTTGTCATCCATAACTCAAGAATGAGGCTCAACTCATGAATGATTAAATATTTTTTAAATGCCTGAAAAACAAAAACCATAAAGTACTTATATAGAATGTCTGCCAGATATTCAGTTATGCTATAGTTCTTAAAAAACACATATGGAAAAGCATTTAAAAATAGTCCCAAAATATTTACTAAATACATTTTAGGTTTTTTATTCTGATACTAAGGGTATTTTATGCTATACAGGGTCAAGATATTCAGACTTCCAAGAAATAAAAACATATTCCCTTCAGAATAACCCTGCCTACCTATGGTGATTTCTTTGGCATATGTTACAACTGTAGCCTTGGCCTCCAAAACATCATTTAATTTGTAAAACTGTATACATAATGAAATGAAAACACTTGGTTATTGTGAAAGCATAGCTAAGGTTTCCCTAGCATTAATAAAACTTAAACTTAAAATATGATCAATTTAACAAACAAAATTTCACATTAACACCCAACAGCACTAAATTCAAAGCAGAGAAAACAAGAATTCTAGAGCTGGGAAATACCTTCCATAGCAAGCAATCAGAAGTCCACTATAGGGCTGGGATGTAGCTCGGTGGTACAGCGCTTGCCTAGGATGTCTGAGGCCCTGGGTTTGATCCCAGCACCAAAAAAAAGACAAAAAAAAAAAAAAAAAAAGAAGTCCACTATAAATTCAATCTTCCAACAGCAGTTTCTTAGAACTCAACTCAAAGGCTGGAGCATGGCTCAAGTAGTAGAGCGCCTGCCTACCAAGTATGAAGCCGAGTTCAAACCACAGGACCATTTAAAAAAAAAAAAATCACAAGAAACTCAACTCAATATGAACATTATCCAATAAATGAGTTTCATGCCAAAAATTCCCAGGAAAAAGTATAAAGATGTATCACTTATGAAAAAGCCATTCAATTTACTGACTCTTAAAATAAAACCTGTCTCTGGATTCTTGGTAACAACATTTTCATTTGGTTGTCAAAACAATACAACATTATACTGGAAGTCTTAATTAAGTAAAAAAAAAAAAAAAGGAAGAAAAAAGAAAAGGGAAAAAAAGAAAAAGTAGCTTCAGTTCTATGTTTGTCACATCGATAAGATTCTGAGAGTGATTAATCTTGCCAAATGAAAAGGTCCGACTGATGCTTGAACTGACTATTTATTGGGCATGTACGATGTATTAAACACCATTTTCCCTTCCAAGGCCTACATAAAACACCTAGCAGCATGAATTACGCAATCCCTGAGTATCGTAGTTAGAAAAGAAAAAACTTAGAAATTATCAACACTGTTAAACAGAATAGGAAATGTCAACCTCAAGAGAATTAAAGCCATTTAACTAGTGAACAGTACAGCTAAGGCTAGAATCCTGGACCCTGCTGCTATATAAACTAATTCCCCTGCTTAATGGTTACCACAAGTCTACATTTTATATATATACAGTGTGGTGTTCAAAAACACTTAAAAATGTTCTTCTGAGGCTTCGAATGGTGGTACATGCCTATCATTCCATAATCCAGTTACTTAAAAGGTGGAGATTGGGAGGATTCCAGTTGTGGCTAGAGGGTACGTGGAGGGGAGAGGGATGTAGCAATACCCCATCTCAACCAACAAACCAAGCTTGATGGTTCATACCTATAGTCCCAGTTATACAGGGAGGCATAGGTAGGATGATCACAGTTTAAGGCCAGCCTTGGACAAAAATATGAGCCCCTATCTGAAAACTAACTAAAGAGGGGGTTAGGGGACGGGAGAATGGCTGAAGTGGTTGAGCATCTACATAGCAAACATGAGGCCCTAACTTCAAACCCTAGTTTCATCCATATACAAACAAAAAAAAAAATGGTTTTCTTGAAATTTTCTAAAAAATTGTAGTTCATCTATTCACTGAATACTCACAGAGCATCTAGTATATGAAAGGCAAGCTATGTAAACAAAAGATGTAAGACCCTTGTCTAGAAGGAGTTTATAGTTTAGTAGAGAACAGATGCAAATCCTACAGGAGATACTAGGTATTGATAGTGAATAAAACACTATGGAAGTGCTGGGTACCAATGGCTCACACTTGTAATCCTAGTTATTTGGGAGGCTGAGATCAGGAGGATGAAGGTTTCAGGCCAGCCTGAACTAACAGTTCACAAGACTCCATCTTCAAAACCACCAGAACAAAATGGACTGGAGGTGTGGCTTAAGAGGTAAAGCATCTGCTTTGTAAGATTGAAGTCAAGTTCAAACCCCAGCCTCACCAAAAAAAAAAAAAAAAAAAAAGGCATTTTGAGACAGGAATTAACTTAGACTTTTACTTAGGATTTATACTTCAATACCTCCAGGCTTTTTGTTCTCATAGAATCTTCTTCCTACAGCGGTTTCCTTGCTTCTGTATTTGAAGATCACCAACATGATCTACAAACCTCCTCCTACTAATCTTCTCAGTCTACCACTTGCCCATTCTCACACAGTCAAATGATTAGCTACTTCTGTTCCCACAGTATTTAAGATTTGATTTTTGTATTATTGTGTTGTTTTATAATTTGATAGTGAATGCCTCTTAATTTAATCTTCACATTGCCATTTCACAGATGAGAAAATTAAAGCTTAGAGAGATGTGATGACTTGTTCAAGATAATACAGCTGGCCAAGCACCGGTGGGTCATGCCTGTAATCCTAGTTACTCAGGAGGAAGAGATCAAGGAGGAACTATTTGCCACCCTGGCAAATAGTTCATGAGACCCTGTCTAGAAAAAACCCAACACAAAAATAGGGCTGGAGGAGTGACTCAAGGTGAAGGCCCTGAGTTCAAACCCCAGTATTGCAAAAAAAAAACCCAAAACGAAAAAAGATAATAGAACTGGTTAGAGGTAAAGACAAATTGAACCCAGTTATCTGTGATTCCAAAAGTCTATTACATAATGGTGTCTTTTTAGTGCCATAAATTTGGACCTTGTCCAAATATTCAAGAGAGAAAAGGAGTCTTTTTCTTTCTTAGAACTTGTATTTTAAGTTAGATTAAAAAAAATCATATATATATATATATATGTCATATATATATATATATGATAGCAGAAGGCCTAAGAAAATTGTCTAAAATTATGATCTCAGAAACACTTAATTTTCTATACTCTGGCCTCAGAAAGGATATACTTCTCTATTTACAATATTGAAATAAGACTCGGTAGGCTCAAAGTCTACTTATTTTCCTTGAGAAGGCAAGAGGAAAATGTACTTCGTAAGATACTTTATTGTTTGTTTTGGCAACTAAGAGTAACTGAATCACTCAGCAGGAATGAGGTTTATCAAAACAGTTAGTAGTACAGGAGGAAAAAACCCCACACAAGACTTATTTTCTGTAGCCTCCATGAACAGAAGCAAAGAGAGTGTCCATGAGCTTCCCAAGTTCCAGTAAAGCCACCCCGCCCCCATCCTTCACAATGAAGAGGTGACTGAGAATGTTGTACATTTCTGTCAATACCTAGAATCTTCAAACTCTGTTCTAAGACCCTAAGGACTACACTTACTTTATTCTAAACCCCTCCTTATGCCAGTTACTACAAGAAGCCCCCTACTCGATGCATCCTTCACTCTTTAATTCCAAGAATTATAAAAGTACAAACTTTCTCCTGAAAACACCCTGCCCTACCATCCCTTCTACCATTTTCCCTAGACCTTTCAGCAATTGATACACATTTAGTTATTTGTTTTTAAAGATCATGTAAGCTACAATCTAAGCTGTTTTTTGGTATTTCATTAACTACTGTATTTAGCACCTAGAACAACATCTGGCACACAGTAGATATGCAAATATTTATTACAGAAGTAGGATAAATAGCAAATAAAGATGGAAAAAAGAGCATACCTTTGGGAATATATTGAGAGGAATGTAAGCATACAATAGAGAAACCTGCATGCCAATGTTTGTAACAGCACTATTTACAAGTTAACATTACATTGCTTTTACTGCTGAATTAAATGAAAATGATCATCATTTCCTTATTCAGAAACTCTTTATAATATTTGCTTTACTTTGTACCTCTACTTTTTCTTAGCCATCATTTAGGTTCCTTTTCTTCTAATAATTTTTGAAATTCTAAATTGTTCCTCTTTTCCCTATCTCATTATCAATTGTATGCTGATAATACTCTAGTCCTATCTCTTCTTGTGAACTCCATATGGGTATTTGGATAATACTTTCCTTTATATTTGCTGTCAAGGGTCTAATACGTGCTAGGCATTAAGCATAGTGTTATAGTGAGTAATAAAAAGGTACTATTTACCTTTGACAGGTAGGTATTACCTTACAGTGCCAGAGAAAATGGTCAAGTGAACAAGTAATTATGTTACAGTACAATGCTTGGTATAGTAGAGGTATGCAAAGAGTAACATGACACTCAGGGAAGGACTCTACTATGTGTCCCATGGTCATCTCAAAACTAATTTCATAGCCGGGCGCTGGTGGCTCATGCCTGTTATCCTAGCTACTCAAGAGGCAGAGATCAGGAGGATCACAGTTCGAAGCCAGCCCAGGCAAATAGTTCCATGAGACCCTATCTCGAAAACCCTTCACAAAAACAGGGCTGGTGGAGTGGCTCAAGTTGAAGGCCCTGAGTTCAAGCCTCAGTACCACAAAAAAAAAAAAAACAAAAAACAAAAAAAACCTTATTTCACATATCCAAAACCAAAGCATTTTACCTCCATGTTATGCAAAGCTTATGCAAGGCATATTCTTCCTCCTAGGTTTTCTCTACCTTATTAACAAGCACAGATCTAAGACAAACTTTCTTTTCTTATTCTCCTTGAATTCTAATGGAGAATTCTAGTACATTCTAATATACAACCCTTATCTATCCCTTCTTAACTATCCCACATATCACTGACTTGTACTTTATTCTATTTTAACTTAGGCATAAATCGCTATCTCCAGACTCTCTTATCACTAATTATCCAACCTACAGCTACAAAATTTATAAAATTTGGGTATATGATCCCATATCCTACATCTTCCTCTTTTCTTCAAAACCTGATTGCTCCTGAATGAAAAGAGAAAGAAATCCAAAC